TTCCAAGAAGAGCTGGACTCTTTGCTTTTCTCCCATGCCCACTTCCACTTGTCGCCTCCGCGATCGCGACCATTCCCGCTGGGGGCGTTGTTCCACGATCCGTGCTGGTGATCTCTGTTGTTGGCCGTCCAGGCCTTGTGGCCCTCAGGACCTCGCCAGTCCTGCCACTCGCTTCCCACTGGCACGCAGAAGGTGCCGGTGCGGGTCTTGTCGAACCCTCTTCCTGAAGCTTGCCGGTGACAAGGGTTGGGTCACCGGCAAGCTTCAGGAAGAGGGTGCCCTCTCTGCCTCGCCACTCTTCGATCACATCGAAGACTTCTCCACAGCTCAGGAAGCCCACCACGCACTTGCGCTGAGCTGTGCGCTCGCACCTGATGTCCATGCCGGGGCGCCGCACGCACCTCCAGTGCGTGGGCTTGGGGCCATGGCTATCAGGAGCCTCCTGCCTCTATGCCGGGCTTGGGGGTAAGGCCAAGGAAAAGGGAGAAGTTGAAGCCTTGCCACAGGTCTTGCCCCAGGTCCATGGACGAACCTCCTGGACCTGGGGCACGGCTTCAACTTCTCCCTTTTCCTTGGCCTTACCCCCAAGCCGGGCATAGAGATGCTTCAGGAGCGAGTTGGCAATGGCCCTTCAGTTTGGCTCCATCTCTTCGTCGGAACCCGAAGTGGGAGAGTCCACCATGTTGGGGGATGGCGGTGTGCACGTCGCCGCCTCGCTCTCCTCTGCATCTTGCCCCAATAACTGCCTCAGACCCTGAAGCTCTGCCTCCAGGGCTTCCACCCGCTGTGTTTGGGCAGCCAGCTGTCCCTGCAGCTCCGTCAACTGGCCTCCCTGCTGCTCATGTTCAAGGACCATGGCGACCACTTGATCGCGAAGCTCGTCGAACATCGCTGCCACTCTCTGCACCATCATTGTGGCACGCAGCGGTACTGACTTGTGCCGCGCGGCACGCCTCTAGCAAAAAATCTTGTCAGCCAAAAGGCTTCTTCAGGCATGTGCGATCTGCCTTCAGATGTCTTCGGGTGCGGCAGGTCTGCGCTCCATGCAAAACTGACTGAACCACCTACCCTACCCGAAAAAATTGAGAACAACCTGCCTGGGGCTTGTCGCACAAGAGCTGGTACAAGTGGCCGCCGGGGGCCAGCTCCAACAGCATGTACACCTGAAGCTTTTGAGGGTTTAGGGTTTAGGGTTTTTTGGGATTCTATACTTGGTATAGCATAAATATACTAATCTTGTTAGAGTATAGTATAGTCTAGTCTAGTATAGTATGGTATGGATAGTATGGTATAGCATAGTATAGTATGGTATAGAAGAGTAGAGTATAGTATGTACACCTGAAGCCTTTACCCTAACCCTCCAGGCATAGGGTCTGGGGTTTTTTTTGGGTTTAGGGGACTATATAGGGTACTAGAGCCGCTAGGGCCCTTTGTAGAAGGTACCTGGAGGGTTAGGGTTATACTTGGTGTAGCATAATATACTAATTATGTTATAGCAATCTAAAAAATAGTTTTGTTGTGGCAATATCACATATAATCGTATCGTACAGTCGAATATTGCATGGCACGGCATAGAACAGTCTAGCATTCTATAGTCTAGTCTGGTCTAGTCTAGCCTAGTCCTAGAAAGTATACACACCTGAAGCTTAGAACTTAGGGGCTGAGATACCCTAGCCACTAAAAGGGTCAACCTTTCCAGTTATAGTAGGTTTATAAAACTTGTTGATGACCCTAAGGAATCTTATAGGTAATTCATTTCTCAGGCCCGATCTTAGGACTTGAGGACTTGTTGTCTCAGGTACCGAAGCAAGACGAAACTCCCTAAACCCTAAAAACCCTATAAACCCTAAACCCTAACCCCTAGATCCCTAAACACTAACCCCTAAACCCCTAAACCCAAACCCCTAACCCCTAAACCCTAACCCCTAAGGGCCCTAAGCCCCGAAACGGAGGACTTAGGACCCTAAAACCCGAACCCCGGTCCTCCATTCTGCCTGAACCTACCCAAACCTACTTTCTGTAGGGGTCTCTATGCATCTCAATGGGTTTAGGGTTTGTAGGGTTTGTAGGGTTTAGGGTTTAGGGTTTGTAGGGGGTTTAGGGTTTGTAGGGGGTCTCTATAATCTCAAGGTTAGGGCATAGCGAATTAGCACCTACAGGCGATGGTGGGCTTAAAGTACACCCCACTTCCTCAGCCCTCGGGGATCCTGAACCCGAAACCCTAAACTGTTTGTGTTAATTCTCTAAATTAGGGTCCCCTTTTAGGGTCCTTTTTATAAGGGTGCCGTACTATATTGGGGACCCGAAGAGGGACCCTAGTTTAGAGAACCACCCTTGTGGTTTGGGGTTTAGGGTTTAACTGTTTAGGGTTTGGGGTTTAGGGGTTTGGGGTTTAAGGGTTTAGGGTTTAACTGTTCTGGGTCTATGGTTTAGGGTCTAACTGTCTGTGGCTTATTTAGATCAAGGCCCCAGACCCTGGACTGTTGCAGCTGCTTGGACCACGACGGATGATGAAATCGCTGTCCATCCTTGGTACTAGAGGGGTCTACACAATCCTAAACCCTAAACCGGGTAATTAAGGGGGAGCGAAGTAGGGGGCTAAACCCGCATCGAACCTCCCATCCCAAATTTTGACTCGAATCTCGATGCCCTAAACCTGAACCCAATAATGCCACAAACCGCAAACGCAAAACAACTCCAACTCCCTGTTTAATGACCCTCGCCCAAAACAACCAGGCCGTCCCAAACCTCAGCACTCAACCGAGCAAAAGCCCTCATCTAGGGCGCCTGCCCTCCTACACTACCAGGGCCTGGGTATAGGGTTTACAGGGTTTAGGGTTCAGGGTTTAGGCTTTAGGGTTTATAAGGCTTATAGGGTTGAGGGTTTGGGCTTTAGGGTTTAGCGTTTGGGTTTTAGGGTTTAGGGTTTAGACCAGGCTTTTAGGCGCCTCGTAGAATAAATGGGCCAGTGCTCTAGAGTGACTAGGGTCCCTCTTTAGGTCCCCAATATAGCATGGCACCCTTGTAAAAAGGACTCTAAAAGGGACCCTACTTTAGAGAACTACCCGCATATGTCGGAACAGCCATGAGCTAATGAGTAGTACTCACACAAGCAGATCCAGCACACCACAAACAATTGAAATAAAGAGGCGAGCAACACAAAGCCAATGCCACAGCAAAGACAAGACAGCAAGGCTACAAGCTTAAACCCTAAAACTTGGGCACTGCCCCCCCATACAGTAACAGTCTATAATGGGGCTACGTCAGTGTTTAGTGCCATGCATTGTCTAGAAATTGTTCCACCTCGTGGTGTCATCAATTCCGGACGTTGCCTGCTATGAAGCCACGGAACCCTTTGGAGCGCGTGGTGCAACACAGGCACTAAGAACCCCGGCCTTCTTCTTTGGTCGCGATGTCAGCCCTTCAGCAGGCCTTGGCTTAGTGCTTAGTTCCCACGACAACTGCACCGTGACGGCCACCCGATGGCTGAGTGGGGGACGCGGAAGCAAGGCCCAGGCGTTGAAGCACAGAGTCATCGTCATCCTTCCAGGCATCCCGCACCAACTTCACGAGCACAGGCTGACGTGCTCTGGCTTCACTCAGCTTCTGAGATCTAACTGGAAGAGCGAAGCAAACCGAACCACACATGTTTAAACAGGAGAACTGCGCAAAGAAAACAAGCAAGATTCGTCGGGCCGCCAGCTGCGGAAATACGCAAACCGAATGTCGAGAAAGTCCTCAGCTGTAGCCCCATGCTGGCAGAGAAAAAACTGAGAGTGAAAATGTGCAAAGGTTCCACACTGGTGATCCATCATGCTGAACTGCAGCATAGAAAAGCTCTAGCAGGATGGTCGTACGTGGGTGTGCAGACACAGATAAAGAAAGGCGCAGAAATTCGCCGAAAGAGAGAGAGAGAGAGAGAGGCTTAGTACGCTAAGGCTAAGGTTTTGAGATCGTTGATAATATACTTGCTATTGCCACGATAAAGCGATCATACTGCTACTTTATCAGACCTCTGCATTGAGGTTCCGAAAATGGTTGCAGGTGGACCAAGTCCTGCATTATCCAAAATGAGGAACATAGGTTAGGATTGCCCGGGTATTGCATGGTTTTTGTCCATCAGCCGCAGTATGGGTAGTAAGTAGTAGCAACTAGCAACACACACCCACACACACACACAGACCCTAAACAATGGAAGCCCTCAACCCCAAGCCCAAAAGCCGTGAAGCCCTAAGGCCGTAAAGCCCTAAAGCCCTAAACAAACCCTAAACCCCTACAACCCTAAAGCCCGAATGCCCTAAAACCCCTAAACCCTAAACCCTACACCCTAAACCCTGAACCCATGAAGCCCCAAGTCCTGAAACCTGAAGCCCTAAAAGCCGAGGCAGCCACCAGGATGGCACAGGCACAGTAGAACATCGCAGCATAACCTTTGACTTGCGCTTGCAGTCTGGGGCTTAACCGTTTTAGGGTTTAGGGGTTAAAGTTTAGGGTCTTTGGGATTTAGGGGTTTAGGGTTTAGGGGTCTAGGGTTTGGGGTTTAGGGCCCTAAACCCTAAACCCCGCATGCCTTCTAGGGCTTAACCGTTTAGCTTGAGAGCCAGGAAAGTAGCTGTCCGTAAGGTCTAGCTTAGGGTATCATAGTTAAGTGGCTCATACCTTAGACAGCCCAGGCAACCTTGCAGGATAAGACCCTGTCGAGAGGCCCTAAACCCTTATAAACCGCTACACCCGAATTCTAAACCATCAACCCCTAAACCCCTCATGCGACG